GGGAGAGAGAGAGAGAGAGAGAGAGAGAGAGAGAGAGAGAGAGAGAGATAGAGAGAAATAATATAAATAGCTTTGCTTTAAAATACGGTAAATGAGATATATTATGAACAGAAATTCTTTCATAATTCCCATCTTCTTTCTTTATGTTTTCTTGTGATCTAACAATTGCTGTGGAGATATAGTTCTCTTTTTTTTTTTCACAAGAGATCTCGAGATTATTTTAAAAAGCTACATTTCCCAGACACACTTGAAACAAAATAAATAGCAAAAGAACTCCTTAATTGTGGTTGAGTTATCATTGCGTTATGTTGGCTGCAGTGAGTGGTAAGAAAAGCAATACAAAGACCATCTTTGTTTCCTCTTCATATTATGGAAAACTGGCAAGAGCAAAAGCCATTAGATGCAGAAAGAAAGTTTACGTAGCGACGACAAAATACAATGGAGGCGTCTTCAGAACTGCTTGTAAATGCCGTGCACCCATACAGACACAGTTCAGATGTTTTATTCTTTGAAGACGAAGCGGACACATGCGTCCGATCAGCAGCCGGCCAAACACAAAGCTGTGTCCCAATTTGAACCATCATACACTAAACAGAAACACGTATGTGCATAATTAATTTTTTAGTCAATTCTTTTTGGGGGTTTCAGAAAAAGAAAACAGGATTGAAATATCTATAAGAATAGAAAAGTTATGCTCCCTATAGTAAAAAGAAAAAACCAAGGCATCTTCATCAAGCGTTGTCGAATAACCAGAATGCTTGTCCTCGCTGCTCAAGACACTTTCTGTCTGGGCCAACACAGTCTACGTGGCAAATATCCGATCACAAAGAGTGAAATACTCGATAAAATGTCATCCCCACGAGGGATAAGAACCCGCGTCTTTTCTATGCAAGGCCAAACGCCTCGCCTCTTTGCACCACAGAAGCCGATCCTCAAGAAGTGGTTATAATGTAAGTATTTAAGTACTGATATAGTGATGACACAGTGAATTTACCGTCATTGTATCAGGGTACATGACACCTTTGGCGACGTTAGAATAATAACAAGGTTCTATCTCGTTCACACTCACTTTTGAGATGTTTGAGCTCAGTTTTTAATGCTCTAAAACATGATAAACAAAATTAACATGGTTTTATTTAAGAAAATTAAGAAAGGGAATAAACTAACCAGCTTCTTTGAGAAAAGAAAGGAATAAGAGTCCTAAGTTTTACATATAATGTAGATGGAGTACAGGGGGAGGCACCAGAAACTCCTGCTCCAAACATTAAAGATAATTCGGAGTTAGAACCTTGCTTTTCTTGGCCGCATATTCTCCTCTGGTCATCTTGTATATTACCTCGCACGAAGAATCTGAACACAGTGTTAACACCCTGGTATTCTTGTTAATTTAACAAGGTGTTTTTGCACATAGCACACACATGTTTGGCTGGACCGTTGACGTGAATTATAATATCCTAGACAGCACACTGTCATAGCTGCACTCTCTGTACTCTCTACGTGATCTTTACAGCGAAGCTCGCACACCACGGGCGCCTAGATGAAGAGCAAAACACCACTCTCGCTATAGTTGAGTGAGCGTTTCAACCCCCCCCTTCCTTGTGGCGTTCATTTAGCTCCAAATTGAGTCAAATGGTGAGCTCTAATGTGGACGGGAAATACGTCAGAATCTTCATCTTCACCTTCATCTTTCCCGGAGAATGGATGTCCGCCGGGGCGCTGTTGAAGATTTGGCCACCAGCTTCCTCCAATCCTTCCGGTTTTCGGCTTTTCAGAGCGTGTCTTTGAGTTCCAGCCCTGTCCATTCCTTGATGCTATCCCCCCTAACTCCTCTTCGGTCTGCCTCCGCTCCCTTTTCCCTGGACGTCAGAGTCTAGGATAATATAATACGTCTCTGGGCTGGGTATATTTACGACGACCTACGTTATTTACACAGGTAAACCTCTTCGTCAGAAATACATTGCTTGCACTTGACCTTACAGCACCAAATAACCTCACACTTGCAAGCTCGCCGCACGCGCCTGCGCTGTACATTGTATCCCCGGCCACAGCATATGGAGTCACAGTTATCACCCTTGATGCACGAGCGACCGAAAGTACCGGGTGAGTATCGACTCCCGCGGCAAAAACTTGGAGAGTCCTCGATATAAGTCAGATCCGTGCGGCGGAGAGGAACGATACCTGTTACCTCTTCGAATGAATTCTGCGCCCACGAGCGAGATAATCCAACCGCTGACATGGGCGATGAGGACGTCATATCCAAAGACGTCGCAGAAGAATACGAAAGCAGTGGATTATATGAAGTTCTATGAGCCACACTAAGTTTGCTGAGTCTTTTCATCAACTGCCTCTTGCCAGCCGCTTGATTCGGAAAGGACAGCACTTTCGCTGACTTTTCGTATTTGGATTTCAGGACGTTGCCCACCGTCTTGAAGGGAGAAAGCTGCAACCAGCACGTGCGTACTGTGCACGAGCCCGACACTCCGTGGCATTTACAGGTGGTGTTCACAAGGTCTTTCACTATCTGTGGACAGACAAGAAAGAAAGAAAAACATTACTCAGAACTACTACTACTACTACTACTACTACTACTACTACTACTACTACTACTACTACTACTACTACTACTACTACTACTACTACTACTAA